CTATACTTTGGTTAAAGATGACTCAATCTCATTTGCCAAGAATTGGTCCACGTTTTGCGTCGGTTGGGGGTGGCTACGAGGCTCTATTGACAGCACCAACAAAGCAGCCAAATTTGGTACCTCCTGAAGAACAAAGAAGATGCAGTTCAGTGACGTGTAGCAGCACAGGGAGTAGTTACCTCGAGAGAAGGGGCTCTGCGATGCCGGTGCCATGTTTGCCGCTTCACCCTACGTTTTCGACGAAATACGCTGCCCACGACGAACCCTGGGATCTTTATTATCCTATTGATATTCAGGTGAATGGCCAAAATCATTTCTTTTATTTAATCAACACCATTAGATAATAGAAATAAATGACGGATCTTTGACAATTTATTTAATTTATTTAATTTATTTATAGGTAATTCAACCAACCCCGGAGCTTTCTCCATGCACAAGCGAAGCAGGTCTTTACGCGAACGAAATGATGATCACAGGAACTAGCGGCAAAAGAGCACCATTGGCTTCCATGGGCAGTGTCGATCCCCCGGAACCAGACTCGAGGTATAGTCATCTAGAGATTTCAGTAGAAATCTTCATGTCTATCAGTAACTTCGTTTCAAATTGATCGTTATAATTTCAATGTACCTCGCGTGGTTATTTTATAGTTTCAACAACTCGAGGTCTCTTGGTTCCGACTCGGTCTTCCTAAGAAACGACGAGCAAGAGGAGTGTGTCGATACAGAGGACGAAGTGTCTGGGTTCTCGACCGACTCTGAAGCACCCGGGCCAAGTTGTCGACGGTTTCTTCGGGTACCCTCGAGAAAGAAGAAAACGGTCGAGAAATGGGATGGTTGTGCTGGATGTGTCCCTAGACGGCGGCCTGGAGGCAAACCTTGTCAAGCTTGTCGTAGTATTAGTGCAGCTGTTGAAACATCTAGGTATATATATCCAATTGTGTAATTTTTCCACTATTAGATGTTGAGGATTTCCAATATTTTTCACGTATGCATATCAAAATGGAACCAAAATTACAAAATTTCACTATTACACATTTGCAACAGATATGCCTTTTACATAGAAATTTGAAAATTGAGAATTTTTTTAATCAGGCCAGTTGTATATTATTATATTCGATTACAATAGTGACTAGAGTTGACTATGTTAACATCGAAAATAAGCTTTTGTATAATAAAATTCTTACAGTATATAGGTATTATACAAATGGTCCATATGTAGATATCAGCATATCACTAGTTAAGAACCGCCGTTTTGTTTTATTATTTAGAAACATCTTTAAGTTTTTTCTATATCATTATTTATAAATATAATACTTTCTTCTAGTTTGTCTTTGTCTTACTTTCAAAATTATTTATATATTTATAGAATGATTTTAGGAAACTGTTGCTATGAATATATTAACAGGTCTCAGGCAGTCTCTACAAGCACCAGTAGCCAGAGCAGCCTTGGTTCTCCACCGTGTTCTCCAGTCATCGAGCTCAGACACAGGCCACCACCGGCACCGTTACCATCGAATCCACCGGTTTGGTCGCAAGAAACACTCTTCTAGTTCTCTAAAGAACGTTTTCACAAATGGTCAGTAATCGCACAAAAATAGGGAGACAAAGAAATGAAGAAAACGAAGAAAAACAGTGACTTCCGGTGCACTGACTTTGAGAAATTGGAGTTGGAATTTCTGATACGATCATCCGAATAAAATTTGAACGGAAACTAGAAAAGTTATTTAAGAAGAAACGATCTGAAGAGAAAATGGATGTAAAGAAGGAAAAAGGGGGAAACGATGAAGAGTCATGAAGTTTAGGGAAAAAAATAGAAAATTTTGAAAAAAACATAAGGCTGTAAAAAGTAACAAAGACTTAATGCGAAAAATAAATTATATAAATGTTAAAGAAAAGAAGATACAGATCAGTCTAAGAAAAATGTAATTAGGTGTAGGGAAAAAAATAGAAAAAACGTAAATATCGAAACATTATTGAAGCAAATAAGTAGATAAGGAATAGGATGAGCAAAAAATTGAGTCCAGTTCTTGTTTAACATAAAAACGAACAAAAATCAAGCTTTATGGGAAAAAGGACAAAAACAAAGAACGGAGATAATCAAGATATGGCATAAAAAATAAGGGAGAATACCAAGACATTTGTATAGTAACATTTAAGATACAAAAGAAGAAACAAATACTAACAGACTAATTAATCGTTAAACGAACTGTTGTAAAAAGAAGAAAATAGTAGCGTACTATATATATACATATGCATATATACATATAATACACATCTATGTATATACACATATATGTATGTATATATGTATGTATGTATGTGTATATATACATATATACATATATTGTAAATAACAAACAGAGAAAAGAAAACGAAGGAAAAAATCGAATTCGTTTCTTTTTCGCATTCAAAAAAAAAAAAAAAAAAGAAAAAACGAAGAATCATGTTTGTATTATGTTAGAGAGAAAAAAATCAAAACTTATAAAAAGACGTTGATCTAGTTGTGCGTATAAAAAAAAAAAATAATAAAAAAGTACTTCTATTTCTCGTTGATCATTTTTTGTTTTATTTTTTTAATATTTATCTGTGTATGTACGTATGATACGCGTAATTAAAGGTAAAAATTAGACTAATCGGAAACTCGAAGGCGAAGCTATAAAATTCATCGATTTATTATTTTTAAAGTTGAAGACTGTAGTTTTTTTTTTTTTTTTTTTTTTAATTAAATAATTTTACTATGATCTCACGTAAACATTTTGCAGGAATAAAATTGATACGACGAAAACAATGATTCAATTGAAATTAATTTACATGACCAATCAATATGTATTTGTTTTCTTGATCAAGAACAGAAGGATCGTGTCGTCAAATAGTATTTTCGATTGAAATAAAAAATTGTTTTATTTTAATGTCTTTATTTTTTATACGTGCTTAATTGATTAATTAATGACGCTTTGATGACTGCCAATTCAGAAGCAGAAATCCTTCGCGTATATGTGTTTGTGATTCGTGATGCGTGTGACTGTGTTCGGATGTTATGAATGTGCACATACAGTCATATACCTACCTATAGAAAACTAGAGAAATCAGAGCCAAAACATTAACAATATTGTAAATTTTTCCATCAATCGGGACGCGTTTATAATCTTTTGATTTACCATTCTAAAGGCAAATACAGTATTTTATTAGAAATTGTTTACTTATTGTTATTTATTGAGTTGTTCGATTCTGTTATATATCAAGTTACAGTCCACCCGTATTATTTATTAATTATTTGTCCAATGATTTATTATTATTACTTATTACTTTGTATTATTTTATCATTATTTAATATTAACAATTAACAAAGCATCTTACATAAGAAAGATATTATATAAACGTGAACCCGATTTATACGTTTGATAATTACGTTACAAAAACTTCGTCGAAACTTCTGTTGGTGCCTTTTCGTCGGATATTCTTCCATTATCATTTAGATAGCATTATCGCGCAAAAGATAATCTCGATGAATCAAAGAAGGATAACGTAATGAACAATTTGGTTCAATAAATAGTTATAGTGATGACAATCATAATCATAATTGTGGTTATCCTTGTCACTCTAATTATTACAAGGGAGGGAAATTATTTAACGCGACAAGAAGAAGAAGAAGAAAAAAAAGAATTAACTTCTAGAAACAAAAGAACAGAGAACAATTATAACGATAGCATTTAATGATTACGTGATGAAGGAATAAATAAAGAAATAAAAGCAATAGAAGAAAACTGTAAAAATTAGAAAAGAAAATGAGGAAAGGAAAGACGCGAACGACAACGGTGGAAAATAGAAATAATGGCATAATATGATTATGATAATGATCATGATCACAAGAAAGATTATTCTTCAGATGTCATTTAGATATCACTCTTTCCTAATATTTTGAAAGATCTTTCCTGATATACGAACAATAAATCTTTCAACATTTCCTACTATCATTTTCTTTTATCATACCTTCCCGCTAACATTTACAAATTTTTCTTTCCTATCATCGATATCGATAATCCTATTATCGATAATTTTCTACAGAAGATATTGATATGTTAAAATGTTTATTACATCTAAATCTATATCAGTTAAGATATTTCATTGAATTTATGTTTCTCTTTTTATATAAATTTTCTTCTTTACTCGCTGAACTACAATGCGGCGACAAAAACGGAAAATATTGTAACAGAAAAACGTCGAATCATTTAATTATGTCAGAAATCATGTTTGTTGCGATTTATTATTCGATTATTCGTAAATATTGTTCGTCGAATATTTGAATTTCTTGAGCATGATTATTAAGATACGAGCGAGTAATACGATAATATAATGAAAGTAATTCTTTCTATCCGTGTCTCTACAAAACTTACATGAACATTTTACAATGAGAATGTACTTGACTTACGCTGTTTATAACAATAATCTTTCCGATCCTTACTCAACAACCTTTTTGCAATGAATGAATAGTAGAAATACTCATTTTCTTTACCGTGTCTCTATTTTTTCAGATACGAAATAAAATGTACATGTTGAACATAAAAATGTTGAAGTGATGTTGTCCGTGATATATCTCCTATAACGCATATTATCTTTATCATCGATGCTAAACGTGTGACCATTTTAAACAACAGTTTTATTTATTCTCTTTTTATTACGTTATATATTAATCTATTGAAAAATACCTTTTATCTTTTCTTTGTTCATATGCATTGCAATAGTTTCTTTGCATATATCTATTTTTATTACTATCACTATTGTCATGTTTGAAATTATAACATGAGTTGCTGATATAAACTGATAATACATCGACAACACGTTGATTTTATGTTTTCTAAAATTACTCTTTCGAGCAAGTTTCATATTCGGTATATTCATTTGAGATTGCAAGGTTCCACGTATTGGACATTTCGTATTAAATACCTTTGTTTGTCAATTCCAATTAACACAATAGAATTAATAAAAGTTATTCGAAAAGTTAGCTATTATTTGATAAAAATTAACTGAATAAAATTGAATACTGATCAAGCGAACTAGAGGTGCTAACTAATAAAAAAAAAAAAAATCATCAACATTTATAACAAAAAGGGTGGACAAACAAAAGTCAAGTGTCACTTGTTTATATGATAAGAATACTTAATTCCTATATTTAGCTTGTTATTAATATTCTTTTCATCGCTGTCACATAAACACTATTTATGATTCTCCTTTCATAAAACCATATCCGTGTTCTATATTTTTTAAAGGTAACAAAAGCAATTTTTGTGGATAACTAGCAAAAAAATTTGCGGAATATAAAAATGCTCTAAATCTAGCCAATGGAATGCCAAATGAGACGACACTTCCTTTCGAAGAGATATCCGTAACATATAGAGGTGGAAGAAAAATAAAATTAACTGGAGAAGAGCTATCATGATCTCTTCAATATGGTCCTTCTCGAGGGTAATCTTTGAAAAAAAAAAAAAGAAAAACAAACATAACAGGAATAACACACCGCACTAACATAAATTTTATAGAAATGAATTTACAACTAATTGTATATTTTATTTGTTACATAGTTTTTTTATTAGTAAAATTATGCTACCATGATTATATACTTTCTTTATTTTTCTATAAAAGATATTTACCATTACTGAAGAAAATGCGAGAATTCCAAGAACATTGGCACAAGCCAATACACAATGATTGGGACATAGTTCTTACACCTGGGAGGCTGTAGCAAAGTTTTAGAAATGGTTTTAGAAAACGGTGATCCCATGATGGCTCAAGTATCGATTTACGATGGAATTCTAGGCGTGGTAAATTCTGTTTTATTCGTACATTCCTGATAAAAGTTCCTTTTTTTTAAACTAATTATCTACTCTTGATTCACAAAGAATTTTAACAAATTCATTAGTCTCTCTAATATTTCCTATATACGTATTTTAAGCTCA